GTAATTTAAAAGTAACTTAACTGCCATGAAGATGGAACTTTAATATTATTTAAAGTATAGGCTGGGCATGATGGTGCACATCTGTATTATCAGCACTTGGGGAACAGAGGAAAGAGGATCTGTATGAGCTTGAGGTCAATCTGGGCTACATAATGAATTCAAGGCCAACCTGAACTACATAATGAGATCATGCCTCTTAAAAAACCAAGAAATTAAAAGTAAAGATAGAAATAGGAAAATATTCATAACTTGATAGCATAAAACCTATACATCTAGTATCTAATAAAAATATTTCACATGCAAGTAAGTAGAAAAATGATAGAAACAGTCCAATGCCAAACAGTTGAAGAACAAGAAGTATGGGGAGGGGTGACAAAAAATTCCCAAGTTAGACAAATCATAAATTCAACACAAGCCAAGAAGAATAAGAAAGCCAGACCAAGTTTGTTAGATAAAAATCACTGATGAAGAGGATACCTTAGAAGAAGCCAAGAAAATAGACACTACATGCAGAGGGAGGCTGGGCATGGCGGCACACACCTGTAACCCCAGCACTCAAGAGGCTGAGGCAGGAGACAGTCATGAGTTTAAAGCCAGCATGGGCTACACAGTGAATTCAAGGCCAGCCTGACCTTGTCTCAACAACAACAACAAAAATGCAGAGAGAAGAAAAGATTACAGCAGATGTATTACTCATGCACAAAACTTCTTTAAAATGCTGAAAGACACTGCCAACTTTTATATATATAATGACATAGCTTTCAAAATCAAAGATAAAGTTAAGATTTTTTTTGGATAAAGAAAAGCTGAGAGAATTCATTACCAAAAGATGTATATTATATATAATAAATGCTAATGGAACAGAAACTTGAGACATACAGAAAGGAAAAAGATAACTGCAAGTATTTGAGCAAATAGAAAAGTAATTTTTTGTTTTAAAATTTCTGTACAATTGTTTATTAAAGCTAAAATAATAATGCCATAAAAAGCAAGACAACAATAAGTCAAGTATGGGAAGGGAACAAATGAAAGTACATATCTACTTGTAAATGTCTTAGATTATAGTAGAGTGTCATAATATCAAGTAAAATATGCATAATCATACACCCTAGAGCACCCACTAAATAAGCCTCGTAAGTGCACAGATCAGCCAGTTAGTAGAGATAAGAGTCACTTAGACCAAAAGAAGGCAAGACAAGGAGGAAAAAACAAAATAGGCAACTAGAAAAGAAATAAAAAGAGAAATGGTATCATAACCTTATGGAAAACTGATTCCAAATGATCAAGAAATAACAATATTTTTGTTTGCCAATAAAAAGATCATTAAAACAAAAATTGATGAAATAGAAAACTAGAGAATTATGTATCAATAAATTTAAGAACGCCAGGAGAACGGGCTCTTGTGCATATGTACAAGGGTTGACCTTTGAAGGAAACACATTCATAGTGATGAAAGAAAAGGCAGATTATGTGAACAGGGATTCCGGTAAGAGGGCAGATGTTGTGGTGGAAGTTTTTTGAATTCAGATTGCTTCATGCCCTAAGGGAAACAGGAAGAAAATAAACAGCTGAGAGAAACAGGACAGATACATTGGAAAGATGTAAATTATGAGTCAAGTTGCATACATGCAAGATAGCTTCCTGTAGCTTTTATTCTAGAATTCCACATATTCTAGCAAACTGCTATTGTCTCCTACACACTAAAGAGCTAGTTAAATGTGTTGTTTCAAAAGCCCTATGCAAGTGGGTCTGAAAGAATATGCAGCAAAATCCATTTCTGAGAAGTCTGCTTTTAAACGAACATCACTCATCAGCTTTCGATTATATCATATTATATTATATGCAAGGACCAGAGGAATTACCCTGTTTGAATGCCCCACTTTTTTATAGGCTGAAATGTTAATGAGAAGGAACTGCAAAATAATCTTCCAGGAAAATCTGCTATCTTCAAGAGCTTTTAGAATCCCTTTGCCTAAGCCAAGGACTCCCGAGAATAGCTTGGCACTTAATCTTGCTTGTCTGATAGCAGAGTGTTTTGCCTGGGATTTTTTTTTTTTCCTTGAACTTCAGGGAATACAACCCAATGTCTCATGCATGCTATTTCACTAGGCTATTCCCCCAGCCCCAAGGATTGTTTTTACCTCACTAAAAAAGTCTTTACCTAATTTGTATAAATGGGAACTGCAAATCTATCCGTCCACTCTCATTTATCCCATCCAGGAGATACACCAGCAGTACATTCTGGTAAATTTGGTTTTTTTGTTTTTTTGGTTTTTGTCTTTTTCATTTTTATCAGTACCGGGGATCGAACTCACGACTGCCTGCTTGCAAGGCAGGTGCTTATGCTGCTGAGCTATATCTCCAGCCCCCTATTCTGATAAATTTGTAATTATAACTGTTTAATTTTATTCTCCCAAAACATACACTGTACCACAAACAAAGCAACAGACACAGGAAAAGTCATTATAGGCCTATAGACTTACCTTTGTATCACAGCTAATAATTATGCATCAAGCTTGATGATCTTGAAGCATTATTTTGTTTCAGTTAATAAGATGTCTAGGGCTAGGGATGTAGTTAAGTGGTACAGCAAACATTTAGCATGCTTGACAGCCAGGGTTAAATGCCTGCACCACACACATAAACACACAAAAAAGACAAAAATTAACCTATTTATCCATATGCTAATCTAGAGCTCTCTTGCAAGGAATCTTCTTATACTGATTCCTTCCTCTGGCTCATTATCAGGCCTTTGTTCAAGCAGGCTGGTTTGCATTTTTTTTTTCATTTAATAAGTAAACAGTTGTGAAAAGCTATCTACGAATGCATACTTGAGACAGGTTTAAACACGTGAAAAAGTTAAACTTTGCCTAGCTTTACCGTAGGAATTACAATTCTAAATTACCCTTTAGAGCCACATCAAAATCATAACAACTCTATTATTGCTTTGCAGCTAAGCAAACTGCGGCACACAATTGTCAAATGATTTACCGAGGCCACCATCCAGATGATGAGAAAAACATTAACCTGAACACCCTTTTCCTAACTCCTGGAGACATCCTCCAGGCTGCACGTTGAAGATCAGAAAGCATCAGCAAGGACATGTAGGAGAATGCTGACTGCGCAGAGATGAAACATGACTTCAGAACTATGACAATTAACTAGGGAACGATTAACGACCAGAATCAATGAAGCTGATATCTCTTTTAAATAACCACAATTAGAAGCTCATAGCTCAGGATATGCTTGAACATTGTATCAGTGTAAATCAATCATTCTCTGTCAAAAATTTGAAAAATGCTAAGGTTAAAAAATGCGGTACAAAAGTAACAACTCAGGATATATGCTTGTCTTCAGTATAACCTCAAACATTCTATGAAGTTATTTCTATACTTCTTATGCTTTTAATTTAGTATATACTTGTACTATCGTATAAAAATAGTGAAAAATTTTACTAATTTGACTTTACAAGTGTAATATTTTAATAACCAAAACCAAAGTATTATTCGTGTTACAAATTTCAGTTTTAAGGCACTAAAATAACAGTGAAAAATATTGTTTTAGTATAAATTACTAGCATCTAAAATTAATGTGTAATACGTAATCGAAGGTTATTTACAGAGAAGAGAATCATCTAAATAAAAGCAGTTTCCCAAAGGAGTCATCCCGAAACTTTTAATACTTCTCCATAGGGACCATAAAAACCCTGTATTTGCAAAGCGAATTCTAATACTACTGTTAGCAGACTTTAGTTTACCCTTTAAAATTTACTTAAACTGAGAGCGCCCTGGTTTTTGATTTGTCAGTGTTGCACAGTACTGATAAGCTGGTCTTTCTGTATAAAATAGGTGCAAAGTCCAAATCTAAAGGGGAGAAACAGGAACAAAACACTGTTTTCAGGAGGAACGGTCAGATCCGGAAGCTGTGGTGAAGGCTGAGCGTGGGGCTCCCGATTTGTAGGGCTCGCAGGGACCCGCCGGCCGCAGAGGCTCGCGCCCCGCTCGCCCACCCCGAGGGGCGTCCTTCCTGGAAACGCCGCGACCTCTCGGGCCGCCGCTTCCGGGACGCAGGCCCCGCGGACCAGCCCAGAGCCGCAGCCCGGCCGCCCCGCGCCGCAGCGAGCCGGAAGTGCCCTGGCTCCTGCCGGAAGTGCTGCGTCGCCCTCGGCACACTCCGGGCCGCTCGGCCTCGGCCGGCGCGGTCGCCCACTCCCCGCCTAGCTACGCACCTGCGTTCGCCGCGCCGTCCTCTCCGCTTAGGAGGCCCGGGACCGGGTCGAACTCGCGGGTGTCAAGGTCCGGCGCCAGCGCCGCGGCGACCTGACCCAGATAGCGGAGGCCCCGGGGGAGGAGCCCGCGGCCGCTCGGCCGGCGCCGCCGCCTCCTCCCGCTGGGACTGCACGCCGGCTCGGGCGCGAGTGGGATTTACTCAAAAGAAGTAAGTTGCTCCCCGCCGGGCGCCCGGCCTGCACCGGTTTGAGCTCGGACGCCTTCTCCCTTCAGCGCGCGCCTTCCGCACCGCGGCACCTGGGCCTGGGGCCACCGCGCCGTCCTCGCGCGTCCTCTCGCCCATCACTGCGGCCTCCCGGCCCGCCCCGCCTCCCGCTCTCCCGAGGTAGCCTTTCTCGGGACGCCTCTCGCCACGGCCTTGAGCTGGAACTTTGTTCTGCAAGAGAAACACAGACGTCACATTTGCACCAATTACTAATCATATCAGCAGCCCTGTTTTCCTTACTTCACTTTAACTCACGTTCCCTTTTCGTGAGATATTTTGCCGGCTTCTTGGGTACCCTCCAGTCCTACTTACCTGTGGATAAAAATCTCCATCCTCTCAGATGACTAGCATTCAAGATTTCTCCCAGCTTCACTTTCTGTGGTTTGTCTGATAAAAAATAATTGTAGTAAATAAACAATGAAAAACCGTTTACAGGTGCATCTTTTCTCTCTTGCCCTCACCCTGAACATTACTATCGGTTGTTGTAAATTTAGGCTGACATGGAGCTTACTAAATTCCCCACCGGTGGTGCACATACACACCCAGGCACAGAGGCTGTACAATACATATACTATTTCTGATGGATATTTGAGAATTTTGTCTTTAATTTTTTTGAGTATTAAAAAAGCTGCATTAAATAAGCCACACCACTGTCATTTCATGAAAGCAGATAGTAATACTTAACCTCTCAGATTCAAAGCTAGTAAACATGCCCTTCTATAAGACCGCCTGTCGTTCTTGTTTTGTGTACTTTTTTTCACCAGGATACAATATAGATCAGTCACACAAGGTAGCAAGAGGCTTTTCCTTTAACAATATTTTTAAACAAGATTTTAATACAGAAACCTTGCAATCTCTTAAGTGAACTTTAAAAGAAGCTTTAAATACTCAAAAATTTAAGCTTTCCAGGAATCCAGGGAGATTATAATATGCACACTTGAAAAAGCAGGAAATTTTATAGTCCCTCCAATAGTAGTAATTTGTCAGTAGTTTTGCTTTGTTTTGGGGATTTTATTATTTAATTGGTATTCTTTGCAGGAAGCAATTGAATGAAGGTTAGTTTCAGCTATGTAGCAGTCACATATACTACATAGTTAACTATCTTGTCTTAACATTCCTTGTTCAATTATTTCCAAATTCTTAACCATCTGTGAAATTACCTTAGCAAACAGAACATCAAAGGAAAATGAACGTAGAAGTTGATCAACAGTTTTGTCTCCATTTCCTTCACATGATATGCACTTGTTTATTGTTAGAAACTTGATACAGAATTTACTTGAAAGTCCAAGGACTGTTAATTGTCAAATACAACTCATATTCCAGGACACTATTCTTTTTGCCATTCACATTTTTAAATTTACAGCCTCAATTCCTTCATTTGTAAACTCTGGGCTGAGTTACCCAGTTACACACCACTATGTACTTCTATCAGAAGCAGTGAAATTGACCTTCTTTATATCTATCTAGCCTGAAGCTAAGGAAGTACTGTAGTTTAGTGCTAAGCACAGTTGATGAAGATTTTTTTTTTAAATTAACATGTGTAACCTGTTGACAGGGATTGAAAGCTATTGAGAGATCGAGATGGGGAATGGGGGGGCGGTATCCATAAGCTAAATGTACCAAGAGCAGAGGGCTGGAGATTAGCCAAATAAGTAACTGAATCCCCACATCAGATCTGTAAACTAGAGGGAGAGTAAACAACAGCAACAGTAGCTGTAGCAAAAACATTTATTGAGGCTTTTATCCAGTTTTCCTGCTTTTTTTCTTTGTATGAATTATCTCATTCTGTCTTCTCAACAATTCAGTAATACAAACAAACACTGCTGGAGAGGAAACAGCTCTAAAAGGGGAAGGAACTTGTCCAGAGTCTCAGGAAATCTTAGAGAAAGTTACCTTTTTGAGACCTTTTCCTCTTACCAATTCCTGGGACCCTGCCTGGATAGTCAGGCTTTGCTGCTTTCTGTGGAATGTTTGAAGGGACTCTGCCTAGCACCATGTACTTTATAAGCACATCAGAGCATGCTTTATGTGACATGGTATGTCTGATCCCCTACTTCAGCTATTTAGGGTTCAGAGGACTGCTTCTGTTGAAAGGACCTCACCTCTGAGAACTTAGCTCATGGAAGGGCCACCGCCATATCTAAGCCCCAGTGTATAATGTCTGCACAGCCACTATATTCATGTTGGATTAGAAATATTTTGGGGAAAAGGAAAAGTAAAAATAAACTTTCTAATATAAACGGTTTTTAAAAGTTTTAAAGGAACCGCTAAAACATGAAAAAAAAAATACAAAGAAAAATTTCTACTGACTACCTTAGGAATTCTAAGAAATATACTGTAAAATGGCACTCCATTAGATAGTTCCATTAGAGTAACTGAATAACTGGAGCAAACAACAGTCCCTTGAACACAATAAAGTATCCAATATTTTTGTACTAAATGAATAAAAATATAAAGCTATGTATAAAAAATTAACAATTTTTATGTAGTACTACTTAGTACAAAATTGAACTGATTTATTAAAAACATTACCACATTAAGATTCAAAATTGTTACTAGAAACTTTTTTATTTTTTAAACAATTTGTTTTTATGCAGTGAAGATACAATCATTTTCAGGAAGGCATAAACAGTACCTGGCCTGACTGTTCCTAACCTTGCTCATTGGCTACGGGCAGTTGTTCTGTGACAGTTTAGGACAAGAATGAAGTATCTTCCAAACTACAGATGACTTTGCAATTCACCTTCTTTCACTGATTTTTGGTAGCCTGTTTAAAGCACAACCTTAAACATACTCTGAAATGGAATTCAGTAGATTCAGATTAAAGAATAATTTTGTCCCTCTCTTGTTCTTTCTTAATTTTGAGAGAAAACATTAGGACATCCTTCACAGGAAACACATCAGCTTCATGGGTTAGCTTTGTAGGGCAAGATTAAAAATAAAATTTAATGTTGATCAGACAAAACATTGTTATACTATGTGTGAACAAAAAAGTTAAAATAATCACATTTGTATTTATAATAAAAGAGTTTACTTTTGACTGGTGTGGAACAACAATTTTGCATAATATTCTGCTGGGACATATTAGGTTTAGCAGTTTTTTAGTTCCATTTTCCTTAGATGATGTGAAAAAATTATTTTTCCTTTAGAAGCAGATCTTATTCAAGAAAATGTTCAGTTAGAGAAAAAGCCTCTTGGTACAGAAATAAGTCTGCAGTATAAATCCACTAAAAAATATTTTAATGGAAATACATTCACCAACCATTATTAAACTTTGCATTTTATTCAGTTGTTTTCCTGTCACTATAATTAAGAGACATATTTGAAGTCTGATTCAGAGAAGTGAATCCAGGAAGAAAAATGAAAAATGAGATATACTACTAGAATGATTTTAGAAGAAAGCCTGTTTTATGAAGTGAGTAGCCATTCTGTACATAGTGTGATTAAACATAATTGCAGTTTATTATTTAAAACAGGGCACATACGTTATTATGAAAATTATACCATCCTAAATCCATTAAATTCTTTTATAGCTATGTGATAACATGTAGAATAGCTATTAGCTGAATTCTAACAAACTACTGAGGTCAGGTAATTACTTATCTGTTATTATAGCCTTGACTGGTTCCATTTACAAAACAAAAAAATAGTGGCCTTGTCCCACCAATTCCAGCAGAAGGTGATAAGTCTCCTATGTCCAAAGAAAATAGAGAAGCCCACTCCAGCTATAGTATCTGCTTACTAGCTAATGCAAAAAACAATCCTTCCCACCAGCCACTGGACCTGCTAGATTTTCAACAAGAAAATAAACTGTCCGTTCAACAATAGGACTCTTTGAATTTCTCAAGAGTCAAAGCAAACCTACAACACGCCTTAAAAAACATAAAGCAAGTAGGACAATTTTAATAGTAATAGCTTCACACTTATCTTTGTATCAAAAGGAGCAAAGGAGAATCTTTCTTCTGGGCATAGTAGGCAGCCAGTCACTCACAGTACAACTCCAGGAATGCCTTACTGATTAAAGAATGGAACACTATTAATATACTTGAATAATTTGGGTACTTATATGCAGAAACGCAGTAAGGTGTAGAGGGACACTCAGTAGTTTAAAGGATTGTTGTAAAATAGTTCATTGTGAGTATACAGCTTTAGACATCAAGGTGCTTTCATTATTTTCCTTTGCTAACCATTTTAAACTGTGAGATAGACCATAAATAGAAGTGTGATTTTCTCTATTTTTTAAGAAAAACTATAAACTAATACATTTTATAGCTATAGTTATACCTAAACTACACCTTATAATATAAACTATTGTGGCTTAGATTATAGCTCAAAGACATCAAACATGAAGTGAACAATGAAACTTTCAATTGATTCGAATACTTTAAAATAGTCTGGTATGACCAGTTATACTTGAAAAAAAAAAAAAAAGGATTTCCACTAACCCTACCTCCACTCTTTCATTGTTACTTTATTTAATATCCTTCTCTGCCAAAAACTTGAGAAGTTTCTTATCTCAGTATTGGGTGCTTGATTTTCCACTCAATGTAGCTCATCCTAAATCACTAAGAGTGCTCTAACCATGGAGGGCCAAAGTCTCCTCAGTTTCCAAATCAAAAGCTTTTGATCTCTTTGGAATGTTTCTCAATCTCAAGGCTATTGACTTTTTGCAGAGGATTATTTACTGCAGAGAGAAAGCTAGATGTAGAATATTTACTAGCATTGCTTCTACTGCTTCTTTGGGCTTCTGCTACTTTGCTGAGACATAGTTTGCTGTAAGTTAACATGTAACCTTACAGAATCTAAGTTTTTAATTGAGTAAATGACACAAACATAGGAATAGTCTAAAGAATTAATGCTTAGATAGACTTATTAAGCAGTGATCTAGTTTCGACAGAATATGCTACAAGTTCTTAATTTCTAACTTCTGAACAATTTTTCTTAAAAATATGAACCATGTTATATTCATTTTCTTCTGTTCTTGACATTCAATAACATGTACCCTGAATGAACAAATAGATAGATGCATAAATAAAAATGGAAAAATAAAAAATAAAAATATCTAGGTATCTGGATTCTTTCCAACTAGATTTCCCAAGTTTTGCATATTGATCAGTTTGTGTGATTGCTATTTTTTCTTTTTAATTGGTTAATGTCAGGTAAGAGGGCTTACAAAGGATAAAGACCCAAGGGTTGTGGAACAAATTGCATGGAAGCTAAGAAAGGAGAAACAAAGTTTCTGAAAATAAATGAAAATTTGGATTCACATTGGAAATGTAAATTCTCCTTAAAGCCAGTGCTTTTTATCAAACTAACTTTTCTCATCAGAATTTACTATCTAGTGTTTGGAATTCTTTTTAAGTATACATATACAATACTTTAAAGTATTTTAGTGTTACTAGTTTTGCTTTACGAGGTCTACTAAATCTTTGACATAGTATTTGTAATTAAGACGGAAAACTGAAAGATGAGTTATTTACATGCATATAAACAAACTAGATGACTTGGTGGTCGTGTAGATTCTTTCCCTACCAAACCTTTGGATTTTGAGTTCTGAGATGGGGCCCAGGAATTTGCCGATCAATAGACTATCCTGAGTCAATATTGTGTGATCACCCTTTGAGAGACATTGCCTGCGGTTTGGATGATCTACTGATGAATTTCTAAAGTAAAATAGAGATGAGGTGGCATCATCTAGAGCAGTGATGGTGAACCTTTTAGAGACCAAGTGCCAAACTACACCCAAACCCACTTATTTTTTGAAAAGGGCCAACACTGCAGTTAAACCTGAATACTGAGGTTTTAGTTTTGAAAAACACAGCTACATTAATATTTTTTGTCTAATTATCTTTTGTCAATGACATGTGCCACTGTCAGCTGTGGACCTTGAGGAATCACCTTTGAATCTGTCATTCACTCATATTTAGGTGGGGTTTTTTAGATGTGAAAAGGGATTAAAAGACCATTGTGAAAGATATACAAGTCTTGTTTTGGAACTTCCCAATTTTTTGTTTTTCCTTAAGAGAATGCTATGATTTGAATGTCCCCACTGAAACTGCCTCTGTAATTTAATCCTCTTTGGGAGATTTGAAGAGATGATATAATGGAGACTCAAAAGACTGCAGATGCCCAGTGGGTAACCGAAAGCAGGATAAAGCTTGACATCCCTGTCTTCATTTTATATCAGGTTGCTTTATTACCTTGAGACTTTGGGTAAGATCCTTAACTCTGCACATAGGTAGATTAATTACATAAGGGGTTTTTAAAACCTGGCAATGTGTAGCTCATTACCCAAAATTACCCAGTCTGTCTTGTTTCCCTTCAAGACTAAGGACAGCAAGATAAAAGTATGTAGGATATTTTCAAGATTTGAGGGTACATTTAGTTCCCAGCTTTTACAATGTCCTCTTCCAGATCCCTTGGAGCAATGCCTAGCTATTTCTACTTATTGTCTTGAATCTGCAGTTACCTCAGCACTGCCTATGCAGATCACCCCATAATAAATCTGCACCCCCACAAATATATCCCTACCCAGATCTCTGCCCCATGATAGAACTGAGGCTTTCCTCCTAGGCAGGAGAAATCATGTTATAAAAACAAGATTGCCCTCACAACCCAAAAGGACTTCTCTGCTGCTGACTTGTAGAACTAGTCCTGAAATGACGATCATTAGATCATGTTGATCATTAGATCAACATAATCTGTCCTGCCAGCTATGCGAACCTCCCAGCTATCCAACTCCCAGCCTTGCCTTTCCCCACTTTTCTATAAAACCTCAAAGTTTCTGTCAATCCCTTGATGACAGATCTTGAATGTCTTTATCTGTTCTTCCAGGCCCGGCCACCCTGATGAAAGCTCCCTTGTCTGCCCTTCTTCACTCCTCCTTTGTTTGGCATTTTGGAACAGGTGGGGAAGCTTCAGGGTTTGCCATCCCTGAAGCTAGGTAAGAAATTTAAGAAGTGAGTAGATCATAAAGCCTCTGTCCTTATGTACTGATTGATCCAGTCATAATATTCATTTCTGATGTTCAGGTAGTGAAATTAGGCTTCGACAGGGAGGGCACAAAAAGCAAAACAGGGCTAATTAATTTTTAATGTGCAAAATTCATTTTTAGTTTCCTTCTTGTGCATTATTTATTTAGTTTAGTGACAGAAGAAAGCTTTTTAAAAAAGAATTAATGTTTTTAAATTAGTGTTTTAAGTTAATGTTTTAAATTAATCTTTTTAAAAAAGAATTAATAAATGTGACCCTTTATTAATAAATGATTAGCAAAACACCATCAGCCTGTAGAGATGCCAGTTGAATTTTTCTATTGTGTGTGTGTGTGTGAGTGTGTGAGAGAGAGAGAGAGGAGAAAGAGAGAGAGAGAGAGAGAGAGAGAGAGAGAGAGAATGTCTTCAAAATTTTGACCTTGAAGACTAAGGCACTTTCATTATATTTGTCCAGCACTGATTTTAAGTTGCCTTCTAATAATCACACCAGTACTTTTCTGGTCAGCAGTTTGTTCATGTCTTTGCTGTAAGACTCTGTAAGATATGCTGATAAGTGAAAAGATTTGGAATTAGAAAGGACCCAGGGCAGTCATCTGGGTTTACACACATTTGAAGGAGTATTACTAGGGTTCTGCAAATACAGTAAGAGGACTTGTAGGGGATGGATGTGCTTATGACCTTTATTAGGGCAATTTGAGGAAAAATCCATCTTGCCCATACCCAGGCAGATGAACATTTACATTTTTAAGTGATAATTTGGGATAATGGAATAGTTGTTTGTAAGTTTGAAATACTTGAGCAACTGAAAATTTACTTTCCAAACTAATGCCTCAATTTCCAGTTATCTTCACAAGAGTCTCTTGGAATATATCTCGAGAATAAAAAAATAGTACAATTTGACAGCCTTTAAACTTGTACTATACTATGTTAAGAAAGATTCACTTCCCTTATACAAATTGCTGAAAAAACTCTCAAGATTACAGTTTAATGGTGGTATAGGTCTCTGTGTCTTTTGTTTAACCAGAGCACTGGGAGGTGAATGGTTCTAGGTTTGACTTTCTGAGACCATCAGGTCATTGAAGTAAGTCACTTGTGGAATAATTATTGATAATTGTAGAAAGAAGCAAATGTAGAGAATGAAAGTCTGGGTATAAGGAGAATCACAAAGAACACTGCAGAGGCTGCCGACCCTGTCTACATGCATATTTATAAGTAACCATTACAATAATTATGTCTTTTATTTGATCTATCATGGTGCTATGCAAATCTGTATGAAAAAATGAAAAAATGGGTACCAGAGAAACCTCTATGAGGAGTAGAATTAGAACAGGAAGTTAGTCACTGAGGGGAGGTACTGACCAGACAGAGAAGAAGAGAACAAGGCTTTTAAATCCCCAGAAAGAGAAAAGATATCAAATGAGATTGTCTTATTTTTTTATTTTCCTGAAGCTGGGGGTGGACCATTAGCTGAAAGCAAGAAGTGCTAAATAGTCCACATTCTAAGTTGAGAAAAACATGTATTTTCTATTGGGTTTGTGTATGGGACTGACTCCAGGAACTGCCAACAGCCTCACTCAAACTTGGTTTTGAGATCTAGAAGGAAGAAATACCTTCCCTGGAGAGCACAGTACTTGTAAAGAAAAACTAGGTGCTCTGTGCCCTTGTTATACCTCTGTGACTTGATAAGGGATGAGAGTTCACCAAGAAAATTGCTTATAATACAATACAATACAGTATAGTATGATTAGTTTGTCATCTTCATCTGCAGTTGGAGGGTGTTCTAGCTTATATCTGAATGTCCCCTAGAGCCTCATGTGGTCATAAGTGGGACTTTTCAAAGGTGGTTGGATCCAAAGTGTGCGATGCTGAGATCAAGTGTGTGTGCTTTCTAAAGTAGTTCGGTGATTGGTTTGGCACAGTTGTGGGTGTGGAAAGTGGAAAGCCAACCCTTGGTGTGAGTGCTTCTCACCTTGAGAACAGGTACCCTGAATAGAATATAAAGGGCACAAAGAGGGCTACTGCAGTAGCTTGCTACTTTCTGGCTACTTTGCTCTTTTACTGCTTCCTGCCTTTTACACACCATGAAGTGTTTATGCTCTGTGAGCCAAAATAAACCTTTATCTCTGGGAGGCAGGTGTCTTGTTTTAGCAATGAGAAAAGTAACAATGATAGAGGACAACTGAACCAGGACTTGTGGCCCTATCACCAAAGCTATGGAGCTGGAAGAATTTGGGGAAGAGTGGATATAGTGTGATCAGGTGGAAAGAAGTAGTGTTTCCTCAAAATACTGAAGATAGACCCTATGGATTAGTATCTACAGTTCTCAGTGTAATAAATGTAACTGTGGGCTGCAGGCTTCTGGGGACCATTCCAAGAAGGGGAGCAATAAATAGGCATCAAAAACATCTGGCATTTTGCCTACAATTGGGTGTAATTGAGAAAATGCATTCATCTAAGAGGGTTTGCCATTGGATTGGGGAGATATTTTAGATCATGCCCACCCTGGTGATGTCACTTACACTCTAGGCTACAGTGATTCGGTGAGTAGATAAGAAACAGGACCTGAATTACCCTTACAGGCCACCTCCATCACAAGCCACTGAGGCTGAAGGAGCATCACAACCGAACGGGAAAAGGGTGTCCAGCCCCCTGTGGACACATCTGTTCTACACTTCTACCTGCACTGATAGCAGAGGAGCGGGAAGCAGCAGAGTGTGTGTCTGTGGGTTCAGGGGCGGAGTGTGAAAGACCCACAAACAGAAGGCTGGCTGGCTCTAGGCAAGGGAAGAGCTGCTTCATGGAGACTGGATGCTGACCCGGCTACATTTCTATGAAAGGATTATGGGCCCAGCTGTAGTACTGTCAAGGAACTCCCTCTTTGGTAGAAAAGGGAATTTGACTGGGCATAACAGGCAGTAGCTTGGAGAAATAAATTCACTGCATATTTATATGTGGATGCATTAGCATTAGAGGGACCTATTTCTGAGATATTTGGAGTTCATCACAGGAACTTTTTCCCATCCTTGATTCAGCTCCTGTTAAAACCTGGATATCTTGATTTTCATTATATAGGATTGTCGATACTCTATACTGGAGCATCTTAATGCCCTTAATGTAATCCAGTATCAATTAGTTACCTTAGTAATATTGATGTTAAACTCAAAGGAAAAATGGGAGGCATTCTCTAACATCTGGTACCTGGATGACGTAGGTTTCTAAAGAAATGGTCACATGAAATTAATTTATTTTGACAATAGAATAGTGCCAGTAGGGTCAGGGATTTAACTCAGGGGCTTAAGCACCTGTCTGGTAGGTGTGAGGTCATGAGTTCGATCCCCAGTACAAAAAAAAAGTAATGCTAATAAAGCAGGCTCTTAGATAGCTTCCATTTATAATCAAGAAAAATTGTATCACTGAATATCAAAACCAGATTTATTTGCATCACATTTTAAAAGATATTTATATTAATACTAGATTTCTGAGGAATCTCCATGTTGATCTCCACAGTAGATACACCAGTCTACACTCCCACCAACAGTGGAGAAGTGCTCCTTTTTTTCCCCAGCCCTGCCAACATTTGCTATTGGTTGATTTCTTGATGATAGTCATTCTTTCTGTAATGAAATGGAATCTCCGTGTGGTTTTAATTTGCCTCTCTCAAATGACCACTCACGTGGAACATGTTTTCATATATTTATATGCCATTTGTATTTCTTCATCTGAGAATTATGTATTCATCTCAGGTCCCCATTTTTGGACTAGGTCTTTGAATTTGGGGACCTAGTTTTTTCAATTCTTTACATATTCTAAAGAGAAGTCTGGGGGACAACTGGCCAATTTTTCCCCCACTTTTTGGGTTGTCTTTTCACTCTGTTGGTGATTTGTTTTTATGTGCAAAAGCTTTTTAATAAGATGAGATCCTAGTGGTTGATTTTTTTCAACTATTAATATTACAACTATTAAACCCGTGTAGTTTGGGTTTTATTCATGAACTCTCTGACTATACCTATGTCTTCAAGATTTCTATCTACTTTTTCTTTTAGTATATTTATTGTTTCTGCTTCAATATTTAGATCTTTGATCCACTTTGATTTTAGTTTAGTGCATAGTGATAGACATGGGTCTAGTTTTAGTATTTGACGTGTAGCAAGCCAGTTTTTCCAGAATCATTTATTGAAGAGGCTATCTTTCTTCCAAAGGAACACATTTGGCCTTTTTGTTAATAAGGTGGTCGAGTGTCTTTGTAGTTGTGTCTGCATGTTCTAATAGGTCCCACTGATCCTCACATTTGTTTCTTTGCTGATTATAGCACTGTACCTTTGTAGGAGATTTTCAAGTCAGTGATTATGATGACTCCTACCTTGCCTTTGTTGCCCAGAATTGCTTTTCTATTATAAGTCTCTTCTGTTTCCAAGTGAATTTTAGGAGTGTTTTTCTTTAGTTTTGTGAGAAACATTAATGGTATTTTGATTGAATCTATATGAGTTTCGGGAGTATGGACATTTTCACTATGTTGGCTCTTCCTATCCATGAACAAAGGATTTCTTTGCATTTTCCAATATCCTTTTCAATCTCCTTGTTCAGAGTACTCTAATTTTCAATAGATAGCACTTTTACCACCTTTGTTAGGTTGATTTCTAAGTATTTCATTGTTTTTGCATGCTATTGTAAAGAGTGTGGGTTCAGAATTTCTCAGTGAGTTTGTTGTTTGTGTACAGGAATGTTATTAATTTTTGAGTGTTGAATTTGTATCCAGCTATACTACTGAATTTGTTTATGAAATCTAGAAGTTTTTGTTGGAGTTTTTGGGATTTTTTATATAGAGTATCATGTCATCTGTGAATTATACTTTCACTTCTTTTCTATCCTTATTCCTTTTCTTTTACTCTCTTGTCTAATTGCTCTTGCTAACATTTCCAGAACTACACTGAATAGTAGTAGTTATAGCGGA